GGTTTTGGGATTTTGGGTTTGGGTAGTTGGTAGGCTTTGGGTTTTGGGTAATTTTGCTTTGGTTTGGGTTTGATGGATTTTGGGCTAGACTTTGCATTTCACCCCTCCAACTTTCCATCTCTTCAATTGAGTCCTTTTTCTCATCTTCTTTTCCAATCTTCTTCGTGAAATTTCCTTTTTGCCCTCTCCCCTTTTTTCTTTGAATGAACCTAACAAGTAAAACAAAGACAAAACATATTAGTTAAAATAAAAATAAAAGTAATATAATATTTTACTAAAATTTGAGTTATGACACTCCCAATATCTGGTAACCACATTGGGTCCCAACTAATTCGGAATCGAGCTGTGTCGGACCCATTTGTTGGAAGTTCTGCTAGCACTTGTTTCTCCATTCATAAGACTCAAACTCAAGACCTTACTTAAATAGAATCAAATTCCTTCCACTTGGATCAACAGGTCATTGGTTAATATATTGTTTATAATGCTTATAATTATAATTCTTAACTTTTTATATTTAATTGGTTGCAGATTTGTATTATTCTATTTTATTACAATATTTAAGATTCAAGATATCAAGATGAAGATTGACCAAGTTGAATGGAATTAACCTAATTGTAAGTTTTAATTTGGTGAATTTGATTATTTTCTTATCAAGTAGTGAATTTGTTTAATATCTTATAATTTTTTTTGAATTAATCATGCAAATTTTGATCCATTTGGTACAAGGCATAAGTAATATAGCTAATATTGATGTATTAATGGCAAATAATGCTACTGAGTTGCACAACAATAATGTTAAGGGTGAGAATCTTGAAAAAAAAAAAAAAAGAAAGGAAATGTAAACAAGGTCAAAGGTCATAAGGAAATGTAAAAGCCTTTTTTTGTACTTGTGAAATGTGATGACTTTTTAGTTTTATCGCGTTGGATATTTGATTCAAATAATTTGGATCATAAAATTAAAAGAAAAAATAGATCAGAAAGCATTTATTGGATATTTTGGCCTCAAAATGGAAGGCCCAAACCCAAACAAATAGTTAAGTACCTAAGGTTAGAATTGGCCAAAATTAAGATCATATCGATTGAACCAATTAATTTGGTGATCAAATCAAATAAACGAAATATTATTTGATTCGATCTTTGGTTGCTATCTCACAAAATAAGCAAATGATTAAAACCATCATTTCGGGTTCGGTTCCAACCGAACTGAACCGATGCTCACCCCTTGTGTGGCTGCCTCTGGGGGTGATCTAGCTGGGTTCCCCCCAACTCAACTGCCACCACCTCCACTTTCTTTTACTTCTTCTCATTGAAAATTCCCCTTCTCATAAACAGAGTTCTTCGTAGGTTCTTTTTTGTCTTTTCCCTCAGGAATTCCTAAAATAACTTTTCGATTCTCCTTTCGATCTTTCCTCAATCAACAAAAAAACCCGTAAATCGTTGCTTTCCTTCCTCCAAATCAACACAAAATCCATAAATAATAGCTTTCATTTGGTAGCCTTTTTGATTCCTTGACCAAAATTCTTAAATAGTAGAAGAGTTGAATTTCAGTTTTCTAAACCCTTTAAAGCCTATAAATTAATTCCCTACAGTTTCATTGGCAATTGTTATGGCTCATTGGGGACTAGTAATCGGCTTGGAATTTGATGCATCATCTAAGGATCGGAGGTTGTTCATTGCAGCGGGAAGCGTGATTGCAAAAATCCAGTCCGCCACAACTAGGTCTATTGGGTTTTGGCTAAGGCATGGGAGTCAAAAGGATTTTCAGGTAAATGAAGTTGACGAAAATCTTTATACAATCTCTTTTCACACTGAATCCGGCTTGATGCTTATATTGGACAATGCTACAAGGTCTTTAGGTGGTTTTTTGTTTAATGTCAAGCAATGGGATTATGGTACTGCCTTAGCTGATATTGACTTCTTCTTAGCCTTCTATTGGATTCAGGTCCATGGTCTGAATTTATATGAATTTACCTATAACAATGCGGTTACCATAGGTAGCTGCCTAGGTATCTTGGTTAAGCAGAAAACCCAATCCTGAACAATGTCCTGTTAGGGGATTTCTTAGATGTAGAGTGCAAATAGAAGTGCTAAAACCCCTGTTTGTTGGTTTCCGGTCTCACTCTAAGAATCAGGAAAACAAATGAGTAAAGTTGAAGTATGAGAAACTATATGATTTCTGCTATAAGTGTGGAAGGGTAGGACATTTGGAGAAATGTGTGGGGAAGAGGGAGTCATGTCTCCAGTGGATCTTTCATGGCCTATGTATATATATGGGAAATGGATTAGAACTGCACAATTGAAGGATAACACTAGGGACTTGGATAGATTTAGGAACGTATACAGGAACAGCTCTAATAATCTGAACTTGATATACCCTCCTGGTGTAAGCTCTAATGGGGAGAGTCTATGGTATAAGAAGGTTTAGGACTTCCCATCTATTTCCAATTTTGATCTTCTAGTGGCTCTCCCACAAGTTTTTTGTGAATCTAGCTATCCAAGGAAGGACCCTAAGCATAGATTAATCTTTAATACCCCCCAATCTATTTCCAAAAAATTTATCCTCTTGAGTCTTCCAGATTACATAAATCTGGTTTTTAGAATATGGACTGATGATGGTATGCATGCCCATGTTGTCTATGATGCTATATGCTGTGTTTCATTCGGTTTTTCAAATTGAATATATCATGTTACTTATGTGATAGTTGCTTATGGAGATGAATGTTGAGGGCTTGGGTTCCTTTTTATTTTTGCTTTTATAAGTGGATACTTCTTGGAATCATTCAGTGAAATTGAATCATTAAATTGGAATTGAAAGGCTTGTTGGAATTGAAAAGCATTCATAGTTTGCACATATTATGGAGGAGCCCTAGAAAAATCGAAAACATGAAGAACAAAAAAACAGAAACAAAAGAGTACAAGTATTTTACTTTGCACTAGTTGTGGTTTTTGCATGATCTTTGCCATATTTATCCCTTTTATGTTAAGTGCTACAGTTCCCATGGGTTAGTCCTAATCATTTGGGTTTTTT